GTGTGTGTGTGTGTGTGTGTGTGTGTAAGCAGTTAATTAGTAAATCCCTATTCGCTGTGCCTCGGGTCGGTTTGTTTTCCCCGGTCGACAAGCCGAGAGGAAAGAGAATTTGAAGTAGGATTCGACCCGTTTCCGCTCCCGTGTCTCATATATGAGGTCTCTGTGTGTGAGAGAGTGTGTGTGTATGTGTGTAGTGTAATTGTGTGTGTTTGTGACTGGGTGTGTTTTTCTTTCTCCCTCTCTCTTATTCAGGGCTCTCTTTGCTGCCACAAGAGGAGCCCCTCCATCGCGTCTCCCCCCGCCGGCTTTGAAGAGTCACAGTACTCACCACCCTGTTGACCTGACCCTAAAAGTTACTCACATTGAATTGGGCACCAATTCCCCAAACAAGCAATGAAAGTGGCCACTTCAATGCGTTTCCAGTGCCAATGCGACTGGGGACTGATGTGCCTGACAGTGTTTTCTATGACACAAAAACCTTCCACCTACAGCTGAAGTCGGATTGAAGTCTGAGACTAGAGGAATCACTGTGATTTCCTATGTGCTAAATAAAATGCTACCTAGCCAAAGCAATATTTTCTTTGTTTTCAATGAATATAAAGGAAACCTTAAACGACACTCACTAAAGGTCGAGCCCCACCTGTCAGTCTGGCTTAAGTAAACTGTTGTTTGTTTGCTGTCCCTGTAGCAAAATCCACACTACAGTGAAACAAATCGTCTTCCTTCAACTCGTGACTTCCATCAAGTGTCTGCATAAATGAAAATCACACACCCGCACAAGCACGCAGCGCAGCGGAAAGAATGCCCCAGCTCTTGTGCGACTGAATCAACTCTGCCCTTAACAAACTTTAATTATTTAATTGATCCTCAATAAGCAAGTTAATAATCAATTAGGTAAACCAATGAAACTCACTTGAGTGCAGAGAGCCAAAGCCTATGACAAGGGTATCAAGGGAAGGGGTTGGAGATGGAAGCATGGGAAAGAAGCTGAAAGCCACACGTTGGACTCTACAAAAACACGGTGAGTACGTTTCAGTGTTTTCAGAAGCTTTCAAAGGCTTGTTG